ATCGGGTCTGTTCTTGGGTTAGATTCATGGTCAATGTCCATGGAATCTTGGGTGGTTTTTGAAGTTAGGGAAAAAATGGTAAAAGTTTAATTAGTATTTTCATTTTTAATGTGGATTTTTTCAAATTAGAAATTATATCAATTCGCGTAATGCTTTGTAGCCATGTAAAAAGTGAGTAAGATTAAGAAATTTTGTGAATATTTGAGGGATAAAATTCAGTTAAATTTATGCAATGAGAGAATTCAGGCGTATTCACTTCTAAAATTTTGTAAAAGAATTTTCCAAAGTTTAACAAAATAAAAACACACCTTGATTAGAGTAAGTTTGTAAAAAATTGTGAGCTAATTTCCCTCTGAAGTGTTTATAAAATGTTATAAAGGTTTTTATCTTTACGAATTTTACAATGTTACCAAGGACTGCGTGAATTGGCGCAATATTTTGTCTTGACTTTGGCATTTTAGCATTAAACATTACACAATTTACGTAATACAACCTAAAGAACGTCCGGGAATGAATGGGAATGCGCGCTCTAGCGAGTATATTGACAAATAAATAAACCCGCGAACTATAATAATTTAAATTTCTGAAAGCCCACTTCATTAGGGTCAATTTGGTATATCACTCTTAAATTTCAAAAATGGATAAGGGTAGAAGAAGCTTGTTTGAAAGGGAGCTGTTAGCAAAACGAGTGATGGAGTTCTACAACACGACAGCCAACCGAGACTCCAAGGTGACCTGGAACTTTTTTAAGCAGGAAGGAATTCCAAGTTCAAATGTGTATTCCTACATAAAAAAGTTCAAGGATTCCGAAAATGTGCAATTCAAGAAGCCAGCTGGTCGTCCGGCGAAGCTAGCGACCACTCGAGTGAAAAATAGAATTGAAAAAATTTTCAAAACCAAGCCATCAACGTCAGTAGCTGTAGCTGCCAGGAAAGTCAAAATTTCCAAAAGCTACGTGGGGGAAATTAAGGTCCATAAACTAGGAATCAAAGCAAGGACCAAAAAACCTGCACCAAATTACAAGCCCGTACAAGAAAGTCGGATCAAGGATTGATGTCAAAAATTGTTGAAGAAAATGCGTGGAAAAGTAGTGATCCTGGATGACGAAACGTATGTTCCGGTTGACCCTTCAAATCTTCCAGGGCGTCATTTTTTTCATAGCTCGGATCCCTCTGAAGTGGCTTATGAAGAAAAAGTACGAAAAAAAGACAAATTTCCAAAGAAATATTGCATTTGGCAATGCATCTCCAGTCACGGACATGTATCAGACCCGGTAGTTCTCGAAGGGAATATCAATCAAGATATTTATCTGAAAAATTGTGTCAAAGCTGGATTGGAAGCATTTATTAATAGGTTTCACAAAAATGATAAAGTTTTGTTTTGGCCTGACCTCGCCACTTGTCACTATGCAAAGAAAGTGACCGAGTACCTCAGAAAGAAAAATATTGATTTCGTACCAAACGATATCAACCCACCTAATGTACCCCAACTCCGCCCAATCGAAAAATTCTATGCACGTTCTAAGTCAGTATACTCCCGGCTTCAAGATGTGCCTGACACCTTTCGAAAATTCAAAGGACGATGGAAGAAAATCACCTCGGAAGTGGCAAAAACTTCGGGAAAAAATTTAATGAAAAATCTTCGCAAGAAAATCGAACTAGTCGCCACCGGGGGGGTGGCGGCCTTAGCTATTAATTAAATTATGTAGGTACGTATTTGGTATTATACATATGCAAAAAGTTTAAAATTCCGATAACTCATTGTGATTTTATGACCACATTTTCAGACCATTCCCATTCATTCCCGGACGTTCTTTATTTCGTAATTTTGTAATTTTTTGTAATTTTTTTTCAAACTTTACCTATATTTCGACCGTCGTGGGACATCTTTCGGAAGAAATTTACTGTTGAAATCGAAACTTCCTATCAATGAACTTTGATCAAATTATGAATCGAATTTTGTAATTATTTACACAAGTTGCAAATTATATTCCGAGATAAATTCGCATTGCGAGAGGAGAAAGAAGAGTAAAAAGTTTATTGTTTTCGAATGTACATCGAGCATGGTGATTTATTCAAGTAGCCCTGAGCCACTTGAAGTGGGACATAGTATGGCTAAAATGATTGACAGAATTTGCATCACAGAATGTGCAAAAAATCCCAATGGGACGCGTGCAAAAAAGTTTTTCATGAAAATTACCCATTTCACGCACGTTTCACCCTTAATAAAATATATTGCAATTTCAGTTTCAACTTATTGTTGTTTCCCATTGGTTGCAAAAATCAGAAGTTAAATTCAAATTTATTCACATTATTCAGTAAATGGAATAAATTTGGAGTTTGTTATGTAAAAAAACTGTTCAAAGCTAATTTTCCGACCATTCAAAAGTCATTCATTCCTTTATTAAAAAATAAGAGAATGAAGAAGGTCTTCATTCATCTATCATCTCAAATGCATAATTCTTCATTTATATCCACTCGAATGAATATATGAAATATGAATGAAATATGAATATGAATATATGAAATGAATATACATATAAAAAGGCTTAAAAATTTTAGGAAAATTTTTTGGCACAGCGTAAATTCTTGAGGCAATAATTATATATCAAATCAAAAATGACATACAACAAATACTCATGAGGATATTAAGAACAATTAACAATTTTTTGGCACAGCGTAAATTCTTGAGGCAATAATTATATATCAAATCAAAAATGACATACAACAAATACTCATGAGGATATTAAGAACAATTAACAAATTTATTTACACTTCGGATCCCCCTCAGCAGCCCAGTATTATTTAGAGTGTATGTAAATATGGGTTTTGCTGTACAAATCTCGAATACGACTACGTGACAAGTCCTTATCTGATGGATGAGCTGGTCAAACATGATGAAACCGTAAGATTGACAAGGTTGTTGTGCAAAACTTTAGGAATTTTATGGCCAAATTTTGAAGTTTGGCGCCACGCCATGGCGCCAAATATGAGTTTTACACGGAAATATGAATGAATCCTTCATCTGGGGTCCTAGTAGATTCTAAAAGACATAATGGGTACCCTGGACTCAAACGACAGGTCATGAGTGTCCCTTGTCAGCTAAAGAGAAATTTGAAAGAAGGAAAAATAGCTTTAAGGGGGCATTGAAGCAGATGGATGGGTCTGATTTTGGCGATGAGTGTCATATTGCCCTCATCTTGTATTCCATGGGAGGGAACGAAGGCAGCGTTTATTACATTTCAATTTCAATTCGCGAAATTCATGCGGCGGCAGGACGAATTTTTGTAGTATTCCAAATTTTTCTATATTTCTGTTGATCAGCTATGTCATGGAGAACATGGCCATTGTCGCGGAACCAAGTTACTTTTACCGTGGTTGTTCCGGGAAACCGGGTAGTAATGTAAGGATCGGGGAACTTATCGGGTTCGGGCAATTTACTTCGACGACTATCGAATCTAGTAAAGGAACGGTTTTTTGTGGGGGGAAGATGGGTAATTTTTTTGTCTTGGATGCGGGTTTTGAGTTTGAATTGTTGGGTCTTAACTTTCCCTTCCTCCATGTATTCAAATGGAGATTTTGAAACTTAAGTATTCATCTCCGTGGGTTTTTTACAATATGAAGATTTTAATACATCTAAAAATCGATAATTTTTAGGTTTACAAAGTTAGGAGTGTAGAATTTGGATTTTTTCTTAAATGAGAAAGTATTTAATTTGTACTTATTATTTTGCATCTATTTCATATTTATTTCCTCATGGAAGAAAAAAATCAAAATTATACAGTCGTAACTTTGTAAACCTAAAAATTATCGATTTTTGGGCAGACTTGCTAGTTTCTGGCTCGGCGAACCGGTGCGCTCACTTACTTAACTTAGGTGTGGTGGTTCGCCGCACCAGAAATTAGCAAGTCTGTTTTTGGGTGCATTAAAATCTTCATATAAAAAATCCAAGGAGATGAATAGGTTTCAAAATCGCCATTTGAATATATGGAAGAAGGGAAAGTTGAGACACACAATTCAAACTGAAAACCCGCATACAATGCCAACTTAAGGATTATATTTTAAGGATTCAAAGAAATTGATTTACTTGATTGTTTTAGAGACATTTTTTGTCATCATGAATGGTGGAACGGTTTCAAAGAAGGTAATCCCGATGAAGAGTCATTCAGAATATGCGGAAGAAAATGAGATTTTACTGTCACCCTTTCTGCTCTACCGAGTTGTCCGGATGGAACAGGCAGGATCCACGACATATGTTTATTTAGAAATTAATTAGATTTTCAACAGATGCATGTTTTATTTCGTGCAGTTATATGTTAACAATTTGCAATGTTTCAGAAGGCTTATAATGGAGGTCTCCCAACGTATGCTCACAGATTTGGACCAAACTAGCGTCAATCGATCACAAATGTAATTAGTATGAAATTTGCAAATGGAACTATCTGCCAATGCGCAGGTTTGGCGGAGATATTTGCATCCAAAGCAGGAAAAATTCGCAGTAAATTTTAAAAAATTTGACAAATTTTCTCCTCTTTTTATGCAAATATCTCCGCTGAACTTGAGCATTGGTAGATAGTTCTATTTACAAATTTCATACTAATTATATTTGTGATCGATTGACGCTATATAGTTTATTTCAAATCTGTGAGCATACGTTTTGGAGACCTCCATTGTTTTTAATGAAGTGAGGCCAAGTTTGGCCTCAGTTCACCGTGTCTTATCTTACGGGAAATAAAAAAAAACAGCGTAATTTTGTCAGCTGAATGTTGAGTGAGAGGTTGAGTACGTAATGTCGAATTTTTATAGCCGGTCACCTCATTCGCATATTTTGACGCATTCGCGAGAGGCATAGAGTTTATTCAACATGGAAAGCCCATATCACCGAAAATGGGCATAGTGAGATTTATGCAAATGAGATGACACGCCTAAATACGAGGACAGTACTGTAATAATTTTTCTAAAATTTTTCGAATCTTTAGTCAGGTCGTGCATTACTCGTTGAATCAGGATTATTTTTTGATATCTACGATTCAACGTATTAACAAAAAATTTGCCCTTTTACTAGTATTTCTCAGTGCGAAAATTTAAAACAATTATTTTGCTATTAAATATTAGGTAAGGAAATTGTGAAGAAATTTGATCATATCAGCAGATGGGACTTTTGTTCACATTTACTCAGATAATTGGCAAACTAAATGCTAAATGAGTTGCGATGCGAAATGATTTGACTTGACGTGAGTATGCCTATGAATGAATTCTCATAGTTGCATTTCTTATTCATTTGCATATCTTTGAAATCCTAATTTTAAAAACTAATTTTAAATTTATGTACGTATGAAAACTTAATTATAAACTTGTCCTAATTAATCCAGACTGGTTAAAATGCCTTAGAAAAAGTTATACTATAGTAGTTAATTCTTCACTATATTTTACAAAATGCAATATTGTTTGTAAGTCGATAACGTCGAAATGGATTCAGCCGGAGAAAATAAATAAATTAATTAATGCTTCTCTTTATGCTCCATGAAAATTAGTGGGAAACATAATTTTGTATTGTAATTTTATTCATATCTGATTTTCTATAAATTTTGAAATAAAAAAAAAACATAATTTGTTTTTAATTGTTCAATTAAATGACATGATAATTACAAAGGTGATAGTGTCTTCGCTACGAAAAAATCGATCCAATTTCCGGAAACGTAGGAAACAAGTAAGTGTTTTAAAATCGATCAAACTTTTGTGCTCACTTTGTTTATTTACACATCATCGCTTTAAAATTAAAATCACGACTCATTCGTTACGTTTGATCGATCGAACGGAGAAATATTGATTAAACAAAATTAGACCGGATCCAAGTTTTACGCGTTTTCCTCATTTTACAGAAACTGACAATCATCTCACAGCGACGTCAACGGCATGGCGGATAAGCCGGAACAAGAAGGAGAGGAGGAGGAAACCACTCCCATCAGTGGGGAGGAAATTGGTTAATTAAAAATTATAATTGTCTGTTTTGCATTCATTAATTGAGCTCGTAATTAATTATTTTCTCTCTTTTTAGCTCCAGCAGAGGCAGAGACCACCCCCACACCAGAAGAAAGTGCTGCGCCCAGCGAGCCTCCCGTCTCAGAAGAAAGTGCTGCGCCCACCCCGCCTCCCGGCGCAGAAGAAATTCCTGCGCCCACCGAGCCCCCTGTCGCAGAAGAAACCGCTCCGCCCACGTCACCTCCCGGCGCAGAAGAAACCGCAGCTGCGCCCACCCCGCCTCTCGTCGCAGAAGAAGCGCCACAATCTCCCCCAGAAAATAAGGACGACGAACCCAAACCAGATTCTCCCACCACACCCGTCACACCACAACAAGACGATTCACCACCAAGTGATGTCGCTGGTGGAGAAGAATCTTCACCCCCTTCCGAACCTGGCGTCGTCCTCCCTCCCTCCACTCCAACAGAACAAGGCGACGAAACCGCAGGGGAGGAGGAAGAGGAAGAAGAAGATCTCGCCTTCCTGACCGACCTCGACCGTCGTGAAGAAACTCTGTCAAAAGAAGAATTAGAATCAGAAGAGGCCGATTTCCGCGAAAAATATGGTCTCGACCTGGGCGACGAAGAGGAAGGTGACGAAGATGACGAAGAAGAAGAGGAGGACACCACGGAAAACGTCGCACCGCCAAAACTCCCCTCCGACGAGGAACTCGCGGCCATAATCCGATTCTTGGAGGAGGAACGGGAAGGCGAAGAAGGCGACAATTTGGGCGATAATGATGAACAAGAAGACCAATCTCCAGAAACGAATCTTCTTCCCGTCCAAGCAACACCCACGGATCGTGGCGACGAACCAAACGTGATCGTTTTGGGGCCAGATCACCCAAAAATGGCGAGATTTCAGGCCGCGCTCAACGCCCATTTGAAGAAACAGATTTACCTGGCGGATATGGAAATTAGGAATATGGAGAATGAGCTGAAGTCTAAAACGTGAGAGAGCTGATTTTTTAGGGAAACACTTTTTTTTGGAATTTTGAAAATTTATGAATTATTTTTTAGGAGAGACCGAACCGAGCTGGGAGCCTCGTTGTACAATTATCAACACGAAATCCAACGCCAAACCGAGACGATGGAACGGTACGAGAAAGAAATGGATACTATGAACAAGAAACGGGACAAGATTGAGAAGAAGGCGAAAGAGTTGAAGGTCGTGTTGGGCGAGATGAAGGCGGAAGTGAGGAAGGAGGAGGAGAAGGGTGAGTGGGTCGATTGTGACTTCCGGTTGAAAAATAATTAAGGAAGATGTCATGTAAATTTGGAAAATACGTATGTAATACGTGGAAAATACGTAAATACGTCGTAATGCAAAGAGTGGTGGGTAGGTGCTCAGCGCCCAATGATATCGTGCCTATGTGACACATGTTAAAAAGGGGTGGGGGTGTCCAAAAAAATTGCGTTATGAAGTTTACTAACGTCCCCTCGCCAAAATTGTCAAATTAATATTTTTAATTATTTCTCCGCTCTGGGAATTTATTTTAAAATTCTGGACGAAAAATTTGTAGAGCAGGTAGTTGCCAATTTTTTAAAAATATACACTCCAGATTTTGACACTTTTTGAAGGAGGAGATCTCAAGTTTAGGAAGCGTTCAGAGAAATTAGAACTCATCACGACTGGCATCTCAACTGAAAAAACTCACTCTAATTCAATTTATCAACTTAATGACTACAAATTTCTCGTCCTGAAATTAAAAATCAATTCCCAAAGCTGAAAAATCATTACAAATGTGTAGATTGTGGCGATTTTGGCGATGAAGCGTTTAACTTTTTGAAATGTGAATTTTAGCTTAAGTTTTTGGCCTCTCGACTAACTTATTGAAAAATCCTGCTGTTTTTTTTACAGAACTGACCCTTCGTGACTCCATGAAAGCGCTCGACTACACGGAACACGTCGTTCGCACCGCGGCAGAGAAATACGAAGGCGAGCTAAAAATTCGCCACTTGGTGAACGAAAAGTTGGAAAAGTTGCGTGCCAAGGCGGAATCCGATAAGCGAGATCAAGACTTCTACTTGGATAAGGTTCTCACGCACATGCAATCCATGGAGTTAATCAACGCCGGAATCAAGAGGCAAATCCAGGCCCATGTCGATGAACAGAGTCAGCTCAATACGTACATTAATGAAGCTGTGTGAGTAGAATTTTAATTTTTGCAAAATTTTGAAGAACAAAAAACATTTCGCAAAATTTTTGACAACTGTTTTTTATTGCCCAGGACGGAAATTGAAGCCCTTCAAATCGAGAAACTTCACCTCCAAAGAGCCTGGAATGAAACCGTGGCGGTCGTGAGAGTGCGAGATGACGCGATAAAAGCGGCCAGAGAGACTTTTCAGTATGTCAAATTAAGGGTGAAGTTCACGCGGATGTTTGTAACCCAGTAAAATCCATGAATTTAAAAGGATTACTAAAGTTTTGTAAAGTAACTTCCCCGGTTTACAAACATCTGCGTGAATGGTGCCATTATTATGAAAATGTGGTTACAAAAATTGCATTTTTCACATTTTTCTTACAGAAAAGTCGTTGAGGAGCTACGAATTCGTGAAAGTGAGTTGAGAGCTATGCACCGACTTATCGCCAAGGAACAAGAGGGACACGAACGTTCAGTAATTTTGGTCCGGCGGAGAAAAATGGAGGTAAATTTGACACAATTTTTTGTACAAAAATGTATTTGTTTCACTGTTAATAATTTTTAAAAAGGAACGCGTCCTCCGGAGACGTCTCGCCAACCTTAAAGCGATCAACCAACGACTCCGCGACCAACTCGGGGAGCTTAGCCAAGTCCGAAAAACCGTCGAAATGGAGCTCCTTCGTGCAAATGCGGCCTTTTCGAAGAGGGAGAAGGAGCTAATTCAACCCAGGCGCCGATTGGAAGCCTTGGTCCTGGAAAAGATTAAACTAGAGGACAAAATATTGACCGCGATGCAAGAACAAAGCGGACTTTCCAAGACGTCAGCTCATATTCAAGGGCTGATTAAAGAAGCTCGCATTAAGACGCGGTAAATTAATTTGTAATGAGAATGAGAGTTAGTTGATTTTTTGGAGTTAATTTACTGTGAATTAGTTGACAGCGATATTCGGTTTGGTAAATTTGTATGTGCATTAATTGATGCGGGTCTCGATATTTTGACGTTTTTTCGAATTTTGACACGTTTTTAGTGTAAAATTGTCATCTTGATTTTTTTTGCACAAGTTTGACGACAAGAAAATTTAAAAATTTTATTAGGTTGTATAATTTTAATATAGGTGGTTGAGGCTTTTTTGTACTTATTGCAGGACTTTTTATTTTATTTTTGACCTTATTTTCGTTTCCGTAAATTAATTTTCAAAATTTTATTTCGTATTTTGACACTGCTGGAATTTATTTCGACTCTTGAATTTTTAAACCAAATGTGTAAACATGTATTTAGAAATCGAAATTCTTAATGATTAATTAATTAATTTCTCCCTTTCTCTCAACAGCATGATGGAGTCTGAAGTGACCAAAGTTGAAAACGAGAACAGTCTCCTCGCCGTAGACGTGGAGCATTTGAGATCGTCCCTGTTCAAGAAGACGTCCTCCTTGTCGGAGCTGGAAAAGAGGTGCATCGCCCAGGAAAAAGTTTTAGAGGAACAACTCCGTGATATTGTGCAAAGCGAGAGAATCATCGCCAAGAAGACGACCGAAGTAGAAAAGTTGAACAAAAAGTTGGAGAAATTTATTACCAAAGAGGACGTAAGTTTGATTTCTTTGACATGAGAAACTCACAATGGAGGTGTCCTAGCAAATGCTCTCCGATTTTGACCAAATTAGGGTCAATCGATCACAAAAATTAATGTGAAATTTGAAAATTACACGATTTCCTAATGCGCATTTGAGGAGAAAACGCGCAGTAAAGTTGCCAAATTTCATATTTTCCTACTTTTTCTGTGCTTTTTCTTCTCTTCGGGTGCAAATGTCTCTGCCAAACGTGACCATTGGGAGATCGTGTCATTTGCAAAATTCTTATTAATTTTTGTGATCAATTGACACTAATTTGGCCAAAATCTGAGAGCATGCGCTGGGAGACATCCATTGTATGTAAATGACATTTAAGTTTGAGATTATAATTTATTTTTTGCAGGGTGTCGAAATGGGTCCGCTCGAACGAGAAATTCGCAATTTGGAGAAGCAAATCCAAACTGAAAAGGACGAGGTTAATCAATTGCAGGAAGACTGGTTGAAAAGACAGGACGATTTAGTCCGGTTGAGCAATCAGAGGGATTATTTACTCCATCAGAACGAACTTCTGAGAAAAGGTGGGTGTAGTTGGGGGCAGACCTTTTTATAAAGGTTTCGCAGAAATTTGTGTTAAAAATTGGGAAGTTTGTGAAATTTTAAGAAAATGTTGACGTGAAAATGTTAAGATTTCTATTTTGAGTATATTTATGTCGTAAAATAATTCGATAAATTCGACATGTTTTTTGTGAAGTATTCACTCGGGTGTTTGTAACTCGATAAGATCTAAAAACGTATTTACGCAGGTTTCCAAATTTAAAAAAATACACAGCAGAAATTATGGCACATATTTTTCGCAAACTTGCACAAATCACGGGAGTCTTTCTTTTCAGTCTGTAAAAGTTTTGTAAGATAATTTTACTAGTTTTTCACAATTTATTACGTTACAAATATCCGCGTGAGTAATTCCCCCATCTTAAAATTGCCTCAAAATTAATCTGTCTGTTTTGTAGAGGTTTTCATCATGGAGAGAAAACGTCAAAGGCTGGATACGGAAGTGGGAAAGAAAAAGGACGAGATAAATCGCATCCGGAAAGCGACGGAAGGATTGAACAAGGAAATTTCCGCCGTGAATGCCAAACTGCATCGGGACAAGTCAAGCCATGACCAGATGGATAAGGACAATGTCCTCATTCAGAACGAGTTCGTCGCCATGCTCAAAGTCAGAAAATTCAAAATTTACAAAGCTAATAAACTTCCGAGTGAATTTTTGACTCATTTATAATTTTTTAACAGGACGCTGAAATGGAAGCGCTCGAATTGGAGAGAGACATCGAATATCTGGAACAAGAAAGGGAAACGATCATCCACTCTTTGCGTGAGGCGCATGAGCAGAACCTCAGTTGGGAGAAGAAGGTGGGTTATCGTCAAGATAAGCTTATTGAGTTATCATTAGAGGGCGGATATGTATTTATTTTCAACTTTTGCATTTGATGACAACCGACTGTGAAACTTTAAGGGTGGGTTGATCAATTCTTTTAGATCAAAATATTTTTACATAGTGGTAAATATTTCTAGGTTTTCAGACATCTATAAATATTTCCGTTATTATTTGCAAAATACGTAAATCTTTTAGATATTAAAAAAATCATATTTTAAAAAAATTTTCAACGATTCTTTCTACAAAAAATTTGACAAAAAAATACATACATATTCAAACATACAAATTTTGCGAAAATGTTTTTTTCGACATATTTTGTAAATATTTTAGCAATTTTTCTTAAATACCTATCCGCCCTTTGGTTATAATTGCTAACTTTGCCAAATTTCCTACAGGTCCGATTAGCCAAGGAGTTAAAGGACAACTTGAAAAAAGAGCAGGAAGGGTCCAACTCCGCCTTAAAGTTGGACATTCATCACATGACGGTTCGCTATCATGACATTATTCGCGCCCAGGAGAAACTCATGGCTGATTTGGAACGGTCGATTGAGCGTCGCGACAGAATTATTCAACAAGCCGATATCGCGCTCCATCACAAAAATAAGAACGTTCGCAATACAAAGTTGAACATTCAGAGGAATTTTACCTCGTTGAGGGAGAAAAACAAGTTGTTGGCGAGGGTACGTTGTTCTTCACGCAAAGTTTGTAAACTGTGCAAATTTTGGGAAATCATTTCTATAAAGTTAGGAACGTGGTTAAAAAAGTTTGTAATTTGAATTGAAAAATTTGATGTCAGAAATTTGTTTTTATTGAGGCAATTCAATTCACGCAGTCGTTTGTAATTTCATAAAATCCGTAAACTTACAAACTTTTACGAATATTAGCTTAGAAATTTTAGGGCGTTTTTTTATTTTGTAAAGTTTGTAACATTATTTTACAAAATTTATGTATCCAAAAAAGTTAGCAAGGACTGTGTCCAAATCTTTCTTTTAATAAAATTATGTCACCGCGTAACTTTACAAAATTTACGCAGTTTACAAACCTCATGATTCAAAGCTGCAAAAAATACAAAATACCTAAAATTTGTAGCGTTATTATTAATTTTTGTTAACGTAATGTTTGACAGGAAGCAAGAGAGGTTGAGCAGCAAGTGAAAACCACGATGGACAATATTCACCAATTAGAGGAAAAATTGACGGAGGCTTCAAACGAGCTGAATCGCGTAAAGGAGACGATTCTCGCGTGTGAGGAGAAAATCGCCGAGGCGTCAATTCTTAAGCATAAGGTTGGATTTTTAATGCTACGATTGGCTCGGATTTTTGTAACCCAGTGAAATCCGGAAGTTTACAAAGTTATAAATTATTGAGGCAATTCACACAGTCAACAGTCCTTGGCCACATTGTAAAACTCGTAAATTCTATAAACTTACAACGTTTTACACAATCTTACAAATATTTCTGAGGAAAATTAGCTTACACATGTTTATCAACTTGCTCAGTCAGATCAAGGGCGTCTTTTTATTTTGTAAAAGTTTGTAAAATTATTTTACGAAACTTAAGAATTTTAAAAAGTTACAAATGACTGCGTGAATTGGCTCAACAATTTATAACTTTGCAACCTTGCACATATTCCAATTTGTTTGGTAAAAATTTACCGCGTTACAATCATCCAAGTTAATTTCGTCCGGATCAAAATTTTGCATATTTGAGGACTAAAATTGTTTCGCTTTTTCAGAATTTGGTGGAGATCGTGCTACGCCAAGAAAAATTTAGAACTCTCGAGTCAATCAAATACAATAGGTACAAACCTGCCGGACGAAGTGTGACAGAAATCGGCAAAATGTTGGAGGAAGCGGAAAGTGAGTTTCAAATTTCAAATACATATTCTAACCGGAAATAAATGGGAAATTCGGAAATTTCACAAACAAATAAGTTTGTCAAGTTTGAGAAAAACTAGATTTTTTTTCTCGAATATATGTCCGGGGACAAAAATCATGGTTTCATTAGGAAACATAATTTCTCCATACGAAATATCATGATTTTTAAAATTGCTGTTTGCTTAATCCGAACTATTTTTATACTTTCCAGGAGACTGTTTCGCCCTCATGGAACTGGCCGAAGATATCGGGAAAGAATATCCTGAAGCCCTTGTCCACCTTAAAATAGTCAAAGCCAGCATTTTACCCACGTCCGTGTAACAAAGATCACCTCGTCAACCATATTGTCCAATTTGATATTATTAGTATGCGTATGAAAATCTATATCTTTTGTATGTAAAAAATCGTAGCTTAAACAAAAAATAAAATAATTGCGAAAAATGGGCGATAATTTTCAATTTCAAGTACAATATTAAACTTTCATCCACCCAGCATTAATATTTGGATTTAGAAATTGGAAATTGGAATTTGAAATTAAAAAAAAAACATTTATTTTATAGTGAGACAATTCACGCAGGTTGTAAACCCACAAATTTGCTAAATGAGTTGCGATATGAAATAAGTACCCCCATTATATTCATTAATACAATATTGTTATTAAATCTGACAATGAGTTGTTAATTGCATTTAACTACTTTACATACCTACCGGCTTCTGACCTACACAAAATAATTATTTTTCCCCCATCTATAAAATTTACGTGCCAAATATGGAGGCAATTCACACAGGCATTGGTAACTTTGTAAAATGCGTAAATTTTGGGAAATAATTTTACAAATTCTTTCAAATTAAAGAGACACCCTTGATCTGAGTAATCTTCCAAAAATTTGCATGCTAATTTTCCTGAGAAATATTTGTAAAATTTAGTTTACAGAATTTACAGATTTTCAAAAATTCTGGACGATAAATTTGTAGAGAAAATTTTTGAAAATTTAATAAAATATACACTCCAGATTTGAATAGTTTTTAAAGGAGATTTCAGAAAAATTGGACTCATCGAAACCGGCGTAAGAAACTCTTTCAGCGTCATTCCATGAATAAACTTACAGATTACAAATTTGTCATCCAGAATTTTTAAATAAGTTCCCGAGAAATGATTAAAAATATGTAGATTTTGTTGACGAGTCTTCTAGTCCTACGTTAAGAATGCATGGGACGGAGGCCAGCCAGAACCTTGATAGCTCCACTTTCGCTCCCAGTGATGAATACTTTTAACTTTAGTTCTGCAAATTCGTAGGTGGCGCGTAGTTGCCTAAAAATGAATATGGAGTGAAATACATTGGGCATAACTCACCACCACCACTCACGAGTCGTGAGTCGCGACTCCTATGTTGATTTGAGTCAGAAATTCGAGCTTTTCTCTGCCTTTCCTAACACATGATAAACTATTCTACTGTGATATTTCAAAAAAAATTACAAATTTCGCTCAATTTTGAAGGTATTTTGATGTTCAATATCTCAAATTGTTCACAAGAACATGCTCTATAATTGCCTTAGAGGAATTTTTGAAATTTTGTTTCTAATAATTTCCACCAAATTTTTAAACTTTGCATTGGTGTAAAAATAATTACAAACAAAAATCCAACAAATCATCTAAGGCAATTATAGGGCATGTTCTTGTGAACAATTTGAGATATTGAACATCAAAATACCTTCAAAATTGAGCGCATATTGTAATTTTTGGTAAAAATCACAGTAGAATTATCTAGCATGTGTTAAGATATGAAGAGAGAAGCTCGAGTTGTTGATTCTACTCGCCATAAGAAGCCGCTGGTGGTGGGGATGATTTACGGTTAATGAATTCGTAAAGCTGTAAGACGAAATTGATGATTTATTTGAGTACAGAAGTGGCAAATATTTCCTAGCTCGAAGAACTAAAATACGAGTTAAATACCTCCATTTCTCACCCGTGGCTTGTTGGTTGAGTGGTCTGTGTCGGGGATTGTGGACTTTTGCAATCATGCCGGGATTCGAACTCGTAACTAATCCGTGTGGTTTATTTCCTTACAGAACATATATTTCCAAGTTGGAGATTTCCAGCATACAGTCCACGCAGAGATTTCATTCAACTAACTTGACGACGTCGTCAGAACTGTCTAGATAATTGTTACAAATACTTTACTCGGCAGTGGCGGCGGGAGATGGCGTGGTGCGAAGGAAGATAGCAAAAAGGCGAAACGTGGCCGTCTTCCGCCGCCACTGTAGCAGAGTACACACTAAAGATGAACAGATACAAGATTATTTTACGCAAAAATTCAGAAAACAAAATACAAGTAAGTTGAAATAGTAAAAAATCCCCGAAACAGACAGCCACAAGCCAATTTTTTTGCAACCTCTGAAAATAAGTTCTTATTCGTTTTGCAAAATTATGATAGGAAAATAAGAAATAGAAGCTAAATTACGAAAGTAAAAAAATTAATACGAACATTTTTGGAGAATTTTGACAACATGATTTTATTTGCACACTTATTGCAGTTTAGTAAGGAGAGATGCGAGTGTTTTGGTATTTTCTACAACTGTGTAATCTTAATTATTCATAATTATTTAAGAAATTTAAGAAATATGTAAGTCTCCGTTGCAGCCTCCACTAATTCCTCATCTCATGCAATGTTTTCTTCCTACAATTTATCTCGTCAGAACCATCCGGACAATCTTCGACTAAAAAATTACTTACGATATTAAACCATTGTTTTTTTTGCTCAATTATGCAACAATTAACTTACCAATACCGTCACACCAATGGATCAACTTGACACAAGTGCCATCATCGCATCTCCGCTGTAAAAAAAAATTATGTAAAACAAATAAATCTAAATTTGTTTGACATCAATATAATAATTTTGAAATTATCTTTACACTCTGCAAAAAAATTAATTGATACTTTCATCTTGTGATAAACATTCAAATTCTAATTTGGTCTTAAAAAAGTACAAAAATTACAGAAAATTCTCACCCAATCTGCTTCCGGTGACGGACATGGACAATTTTTCTCGTCAGAACTATCTCTGCAATCACCGTATCCATCGCATCTATTTAAAAATTGACAATTTTTTTCTCGTTTGTTAAAGTTTATGTACATCCTTTAAAATTTGTGCAAAATTATGCTTCAAAGTTTTGTAAGAGTTACAGTCCTTTGTATATAACTTTGTAAAATACGTAAACTGGTAAACTTACAAAATTTGACAGATATTTCTAACAGAATTAACTTACAATTTTACAAAATTTTTGGAAATATAAGGAAAATTATGGTACAAATTTGTGTAAACTTACTCAGATCAAGGGCGGCTTTTTATTTTGCAAAAGTTTGTACAACTATTTTACAAAATTTGCGGATTTTACAAAGTTATCAAGGACTGCGTAAATTGTCCCTTTATTTGGTTTTTAGATTTAGATTTAGAACAAAATTAAATTGATAGTTTTCAAAATGAAAAAAATTTACAAAATTTGTTAAATATATTCATATCTCAACTTTTAAACATAATTCATACCATAGTTGTTCAAACCACAGTGTGGATCCACAAAGTGGACTGTGGTGTGGAAAGTAGTTGTTCAAACCACAGTGTGGATCCACAAAGTGGACTGTGGTGTGGAAAGTGGACACGATATTTTTGTGGTTTGTGGAATTGTGGATTGTAGTTTGTGGAAGGGTTTGTGGTTTGTGGATTTGTGGATTGTAGTTTGTGGTTTGTAGTTGTGGAGTCCACAACTACAATCCACAAAACCACAGACTGGTCCACAATGTGGGCAGGTCTGTAGTTTATAGTTATGGTTAAGTTTTGAGGCATTCCTGTGAATGATATAGCCTTAGATAAATAGTTAAACACACGTTTCATGATTTTTCAAAATGCACACTGAAAACCATGTTATAATCCGTAAGCGGGAATTTGGATCTTAAAATTTCGCTGTAAAAAATGCGAATTGTCGCTCACGTATAACGTTATAACTTCGTTGCAACTGAGAATTATGAAAAATTCTGAAACACGTGTTTAATTATGTATGTAATTACTAGTAATTAGCATATGTAGCTGTTCAAACCAAAGTGTGGATCCACAAAGTGGACTGTGGTGTGGAAAGTGGACAAGATTTTTTTGTGGTTTGTGGAATTGTGGATTGAAGTTTGTGGAAGGGTTTGTGGTTTGTGGAATTGTGGATTGTAGTTTGTGGAAAGGTTTGTGGTTTGTGGAATTGTGGATTGTAGTTTGTGGAAGGGTTTGTGGTTTGTGGAATTGTGGATTGTAGTTTGTGGAAAGGTTTGTGGTTTGTGGAATTGTGGATTGTAGTTTGTGGAATTGTGGATTGTAGTTTGTGGAAAGGTTTGTGGTTTGTGGAATTGTGGATTGTAGTTTGTGGAAGGGTTTGTGGTTTGTGGAATTGTGGATTGTAGTTTGTGGAAAGGTTTGTGGTTTGTGGAATTGTGGATTGTAGTTTGTGGAATTGTGGATTGTAGTTTGTGGAAAGGTTTGTGGAATTGTGGATTGTAGTTTGTGGAAGGGTTTGTGGTTTGTGGAATTGTGGATTGTAGTTTGTGGAAAGGTTTGTGGTTTGTGGAATTGTGGATTGTAGTTTGTGGAATTGTGGATTGTAGTTTGTGGAAAGGTTTGTGGTTTGTGGAATTGTGGATTGTAGTTTGTGGAAGGGTTTGTGGTTTGTGGAATTGTGGATTGTAGTTTGTGGAAAGGTTTGTGGTTTGTGGAATTGTGGATTGTAGTTTGTGGAATTGTGGATTGTAGTTTGTGGAAAGGTTTGTGGTTTGTGGAATTGTGGATTGTAGTTTGTGGAAGGGTTTGTGGTTTGTGGAATTGTGGATTGTAGTTTGTGGAAAGGTTTGTGGTTTGTGGATTGGTTTGTGGATTGTGGTGAGATGAAATGAACAGCTATGATTCATACACAGGGTTAAATTAGTTTCTAAATATGTACCTTGACTTACAGAAGGGTTGGGCACTTACGTGGATACGAATTTGACCTTGAATAACCCTGGAACGGTTTGTCGCAACGGGTCAACATTTTGAACAGAGGAGCATGTTATCCTCAAATAGTTGTGTGCAAAAAACCAACTCTCTACTTTCAAAAATGCCTCCCCCACAGCCCCCAGGAGGTGGGACACCCATAAAACCTCTTTCCAAACTTTAATACTTGTACAACAGAATTGCTAAACATTCTAAAAGTGAATGGAAAACAGTTTCGAAATCTACAATCAATATGGTATTGAAAAATATAGGTGAAAAACGATAAATTTTGAGTAAAGGGCAACCACCACCCCCTGAAAGAAGGCAAAAAAAGTGTTAATTTCGACCATGCATAGGAAAATTGACCTATTGACCTTCGAAAACTATCCACTGACCCAAAAGGAAATTTCCCGTAAGGTTGGGGTGTCTAAGCGTTCAGTGAAAAGAGAAATTAACATTTTGAAGAAACGACTTCGTCGGAAAAGCCGTGTGCATCAGCTGACTGAAAAGTAGGAAAAAAATCGCGCCCGTGTTTACAAAAAAAATTATTCGAATTTTTTGTGAAGGAATAAGAGTGAGTTATTAGTGACATTTGACGAAGCACTAATTTCTCTACAAGTTACTAATTAGGTTCGAAGAGCTTACTACACGACAAATGTTGAAAACAATTCACTCAAGTTGGTGCTTCTTTGTAAGGAGAACTTTTTTAAACAGTTGATGGTCGTGGGTGCAATGTCGGGTCGTGGTGTCCTCCCACTTATCAAAGTCCCCCAAAAAGTGAATGAATCTTCGAAGTATGATGTGGACCGTGTATTGAAACCACTTTTAGAATAACATTTTCCTAAATTGCACGGTAAAAAAATAATTAAGGTGAGTTTTCATCATGACGGAGCGTCTTCCCAGACGGCAAAGTTGATCCAAGATAATGCAAAGGACCTTGAAGCTAGATTGGGGATAAAAATCATTTCGAATAGTGAAATACCTGTACAATCCCCCGACATAAGTCAAATGAACTCATTTGGGGTAGGATACTTGAAAACAAAAATTTTTCTGCGGAGACCGAATTTTTTAGACGGAGTTTGGAAAAAGTAAAAATGAGTGTTTCACCTTCTGGGGGCTCTGGGGGAGGCATTTTTGAAAGTAGAGAGTTGGTTTTTTGCACACAACTATTTGAGGATAACATGCTCCTCTGTTCAAAATTTTGACCCGCTACGACAAACCGTTCCAGGGTTATTCAAGGTCAAATTCGTATCCACGTACGTGCCAAACCCTGTACCTATAACGGTCAAAAATACACTTAAAATCTTCGCATTTCCACTGAAAATAAATTCAAAATTATTACGAGAGTTGACATAATTACAAAAATTGAGACATTATTCTTAATAAAATATTTACATATCGTGCATAACACGGAGTAGTTCTGCACATTTCTTCATTCTCGTCACTCAAATCACCGCAATCATCGTCCCAGTCACAGATATAAAATTTACTGGTGCAATTCCCATTAGCACAAGCGAACTGAAATCAATTAACTATTTTTTATTGTACAGAAGAAGCTTTGTAACTGTGTAAAAATCTTCACGATGAGAATTTTACGGACGCTAAAAACTTAATTATTCGGTAACAAAGTACAACCGCGTGTAATCATTAAATTGTAACCGTTACAGTGAGGAAGCAAAATTAGAAATCCAGTATTAAAATACTACCAAGCGGTACTCATATAGGAGTCTAATGTCACCACCTAATATTACGAAATTGGTATTGACAAGTAATATTGTGTAATTGTAGCTCGGTATTAACGCTTTATCATGTTGGTAGCAATTTTTTTACGGACCGGTATAATTTTAATACCAAGCGGTGGCAACCTTAATACCGGGAAATCATTACCTGCCTGACAATAAAAGATTTCTAACAATGTATTTGCACATCTTCGATCTTAACTCGTATCCATAAATCCCATTTGGTTTGCACAAATTATGACCCTTGATATGTTCATAAATTAGCTGAGCGGAAAGAAAAATTGTAACTTTATTAATTTATATTTTTTATACGCAAATTACATAATTGCAAATTATGTGTAGGAAATTCACATGTTTAAAAAAATTATGATCAAAATATACAATTGCAAATGGTAGATTTATACGCCGCTAGAAAAAAGTATTAGAAATATTTGTATAAAATAGTCTTGAGATGTCAGCAAGAAAAGTGAAAATTGTTCTATGCAAATTTTTTAGTATTGTAGAAACGGTTTCTTTGTTTCCAAAAATTCTACGAAATGTTGATATATAAAACGGTTTTAACTGAGGTTTTACTAAAACCTCAGTATGAAATGGTAACAACGAAAATGAAGTGACTCGAGAAATCAATACCAGATTTCTACCGGTTCGATAGAAATGACCTTTACCAGTATAACGTAATTCGTTATCAAACGGTATAACTTCATATTATTTAGTGACCACACACGGTGACAATTTTGTTACCAACCTAATTTGAGTCCAGATTAAAAAATATTGGTACCATTTGGTAAAATAATTTCAAACACAATTTCACAGTTTATATGAACAATTGACTAAACTATTTACCTCCGTGTCTTCGTTACATCGTTGCCCAATGGTGGCCGATATATTCACCAAGAGCAGTGCGAATAATTTCCGCAATATTTGCGAATCCTTCATTTTGCTGAAGAAATAATTCAACTTTTAAATAAATCTGCCCGTCTAAATATTTTGATGCGATTTAAACCAGGAATGTGTCACACATTTCAAGTTTGCATATCTTATAATGCATCTGTTAATCTAATCTGAATTTTAATTTTGGTAGGAATACGAGATAAGCGGAAACCACGATAATTGTCAGACGTTGATGGATCATTTTTTAGTTTGGCAATTTTGTATTAACCAGTTCAAATTGTGGATTATACTCGAATTTAGCTTTGGGGGATTGATAAGGTTAAAAATTTCTGTGAAATTGATTCAAACTTATTAACCAACAAGGATTTATTATTAGTATGCTCTAAATAATTTTGATTAAAATTTACTCAATTTTGAGTAAAATTGCCACCAAAGCAACTATTGAGTAAAATTTACCCTGACAAAGGTAAAATTTACTCAATAGTTGCCTTGGTGGCAATTTTACACAACTGTATTTACAGTGTAATGAATTATTCAAATCTTGACAGAGTCAATAAATAATCCAATTTGTAATTAGACATTAAATTTTCGACAAAATTCGATTTTCTTTTAGAATAGATCATTGAATTATTATTTTTTGAAATTTTGATTTTCGCATTTACCCTCTGTACTAGCCTATCTAATAATTAGTTCATCTTAACTTTTCATATTTTTTTTCTAGCGGTGTGCACATCTTACATTTTCATTATTTTGCATTTTAATCATAAAAAATTATTGAAAAACTTGTTGATTTCTTACATATAATTTACAAACATGAAATTTTTTACTGAAGAAATTTCAAAATTTGAATTTGTAAATATCGATCTTATGCAAGAAATTTTCAATTTGGTGCCGACTTTAATTAAATTCATTAGTATCTACAAACGTCATCTGCAGATATAAATTGATGAGAAGTAAATTGCTAAAAAATATTATATTTTTACTTTATATGTAGCTATTTTTTGTAAATTGTTTCTGGTCAAGCATTATTAACGAAATGAACGTGTTCCTGACCCCGAGCCCGTGCAGGCACGGAAATTGCTATCTAGTCCATATAACGAAATTAATGATTTTTATCGACATGCAATCCAATTTTAAAACTGATATTAAAATTTTCATTGAATAGTAGTCAAACACATTCAGGTCTAACGAGCATTTCGTTTTTTGTCAATTTATTTGAAGAAAACTCGTGGTAAAAAAAGTTTTTTTTTACTCCGCCAAAATTTTTACAAGTTTCTAAATCCCGTTAATAATTTTGTACGCAAAAATTTTATTACTACCTAAATTTACAGCGGCACCTCTAACTATCAAACGTACTTGTAAAATTTGGCATCAAACTTTGCCAAATTTAAATCTAAACTAACTAAATTGACGGTTCAAGTAAATCGTATAAACTTCGTAAATGCAAGTTTTCAAAGCTTAAGAAGAACATTCATAAATAACTATTTGCAAAGAATTTTTTTTGCAAATCAACTTTGACACGTCACGTCTACCCAGAAAATTATTGGCAAATAATTAATACACGTAAACTGTATTATTGCATTGTAAACTTCGTAAATACAAGTTTTCAAAGATTACGAAAGAGACGCATGAATAACATTTTTCAAAATATTATTTTTATTTGTAAAATCAACTTTGACACATCTACCCCGATTATTACTCGCAAATATTTAATATACATACATACGCAAACTATAGCGCCATGGCGCCTGCAATACCATCACGGTGTTCTCTCATCCCTGATAAAACGATATCCATTTTCGCGTCAATAATGTCCTGGGCAAAATTCTGGAGTGGATCTCAATTTCTCTGGAATGCGAAAAAGCGTCAAATTCGTGTCACAAAATCGTCCTGGGCTTTGGTCAAATTTGCCTTTGTTGTGTACGGATGGCTCGTTTTTCTCGCGTATGAAGCTCATGTGCTAATTTTTCATGAGAAACCGATCTACTGGACGACACGGTGTTTCTTACTGTTTATGGGTGGACAGGTGCCAATGGTCACCTTGGTCGTTAATGTGATTAAAGAAAGGGACATTTTCTCCTGGATTAATTCCGTGTTCAAGTTCGATGCGTGGTTTTCAGGTATTTTTAAAATTAATTAATATATCAGTTTGGGTTGAATTATTCGAGAAAGAAACTTCCATTTAGGCAAGTGAAGCTAAAATTGCTACTAGTATCTACGCCAATATTTGCTGCGAAAAAAACACATGCAAAAATTGTGTTTTTGCAGGTATAATTTTTTTGCACGAGTGAAAAAAGTGCAAGAAATCAGCGCTAGTTAAGCGAAAAATTGCTATAGATAATTGTAGTACAACTGGGAAGTCGTAAATTTGTTGCATTTCTTGCAGCTTCTTTAAGAAATGGAACACGTTTTTATCGATGCGATCAATTATTTCGATAAATAAGAACCTATACTCCCTGATGTACTTGGCTACACTGTTAATAGAAATCTGGTATACTCAGGCAGCTATTGATTTCTCGGTATTAAAGTTGCTACCGCTTGGTATTAAAATTATATGGTCCCGTAAAAATTTACTACCGATCTGGTAAAACTTTAATTCCGAGCTATCACTACACGGTATTACTTATCAATACCACTTTGGTAGTGTCATATATGAATACCGATTGGTAGTATTGTAATACTGGAATTGTAAGAGTGTAGTAGTGATACGGCACATTTTTAAGAAAGGGTCAAGTTTTGTTCAAAATAATTTACGAGATTTGAACCGGAAATTTTGTCAGGTTTTTTAAAATGCCGTAAATCTAGTTTATATTTCCAACTAAATTGCATCCGTCGATTTTGCTTATTCTCCCATATTGAGACAATTCACCCAGACTTTGGTAACTTTATAAAATTCGTAAACTTGCAAACTTTTATGAACATTTTAAAGGAAAATTAGCTTCCAAATTTTTGCAAGGTTACTCAGATCAAGGGTATCTCTTTATTTTGTGCATAAAAGGTTGTAAAAATTATGGTAAAAACAAAATTTATAGATTTCACAAGTTTATTGATTATTGTGTGAATTCAGAATTGTCTCAATGTTTATAATCCCTCAACTACATACATCATAGCGGTATTAAAGGAACCTATATATGACATAATACTTATCCTTTATTTCAACTTTTTCAATTCGGGCGTGTAAGCTGGACAATTTGACCTGTAATGTAAATGAATTTTGAAAACCGGAATAATTTATTGTTTCAATGATTTAAACTTATTTTAGCTGCAATTTATCAACGTTTCTGGCATTTTTGTCTTCACCTAAGTAAATGCAAGTTTCTTAGTGAATACATAGATCGGTAACATACCTAATTATCACCGCGTGGTGAGGATCTATACTGTCTGTCTGTAGGCAAAAATACGGCTATTAGCTGTATTTTTAGCAGTGTTTTTCTACTACTAACACACTCTAAATAAAAATAAGTAAAATTTACTCAATGTTGGGTAAAAAAGAGGATGGCACAACCAATGGTAGAATTTGTCCGAAGTTGTGTAAAATTTTACCTTTTGGTTGTGGCATCCTCTTTTTAAACCAACCTACCAAACGAGTAAATTTTACTCATTTTTATTTTAGAGTGCACGATCCTTGTCGGCATAATTTTACCACGACGTAAAAAGTTTCGAAAATGTATATTTAAAAATTATTTTGAACTTGATATATAAATTCTTTAACAAATACATTTTTTACACATTTTGCAGATAGTTTTATAAAAGTTGGGCCCACAAAGTTTTCCCGTCTTGTGAAAAATATTTCTTGTTTCTTGCGAGTTATTTTGTTTTTCACGAAGTTATATGGCGTTGGAACCTTCATATTTGCGATGACTTTGCCATACGTGCCATTGTTTTTTTTGATTAATTTGCCCGAAGAGTTCCGCCACTGGAGTCTCGTCGTGGGTCAGGCTTGTTTGGGGGCTGCGTTCATCTGCGCCGTGGGAGGATCTATTATCTCAACGGTGGGATTTTCCATGATTTTTGCCACGTCGATTTTCGGTGTTTCGAATGAACTTAAGTGAGTCATGTGTAAATACTAATTTTGAGTAGAGTAAATTTTAATTGTAGGGTTGAATAAATTTTATCGGATTCGACTCGAGTAAATTTTACCCGGTTCGACTTGACTAAATTTTACCCAGTTCGACTAGAGTAAATTTTACCCGGTTGGACTTGAGTAAATTTTACCCAGTTCGACTCTAGTAAATTTTACCCGATTCGACTCGAGTAAATTTTACCCGGTTCGACTTCAGTAAATTTTACCCGAGTCGAGCTGAGTGAGTTTTAACGATGTCGACTCCAGTAAATTTTACCCGGATTCGACAAGTAAATTGTACGGGGTTATTTGAGTAAATTTTACTCGACTTTAGTTCCTACTAATTTTCCATTCCATATTTCAGATTCACCTCTACAAAAAAACACAAATACCGAACATATTCGTATCTTCGAACCACCCAAAATATTAAACTCGTCGCTACCAGTGTTTCCATCTTGTGGATCTTACTCAACACTTTATTCCGTCCGTTTGTCATGCCGATTCAAATGCTGATTATCCGTTCCGTTCAATTCTGCAATTTCCTCCTGATTCGATATCGGAATGAAATCTCGCTAATCGATTTTCCCCTCTTGGCCGGGTTCTCCATACTTTTCGGAGGTACCTGGCTCGGCATTGTGGAAATGGTGGGATTCGCGAATAGATATAGTTCCCAAATTTTGCAAAATTTTAGCAAAGTCGGCGGTATGACGAGTTTCGAGAAAAAAGTTTGGAAAAAGGAGCGCAAAAGTTTTAAACCTTTGATTCTCAATGTGGGACAATTTTACGTTATGAATACTAAAACCGTGCTTAATGTGGGGTCCTCATACGTTTGGGGGACGGCGAGACTGCTCATTTTGTTTCCCCATTAATTAACGAAATTTTCTAAACTTTTGCAAAATTATTTCGCAATATTGTAAACTCAAAATATTTAAGTCGGCTGCTAACAAAATCAGCATCTCGTATAATCACTATGAGGCTGGAGAAAATTTATCACCGAATGGTAACAAAAATTTCAAAGCTCATAAATCAAACATGGTGAAGAAAATCAATAATTTTAAGTCACAAATTCAAAAATTGTTAAGCAAGTAGAGATTAGTTTTTTTAAATGGAATTCTAAATAAATAATTTCCTCTTTACAGTGCTAATTGGAAAAGTGTCTAATTTTAAAATCAGTTTTGATTAAACTAGTTAGACAAAGTGTAACGCCGTATTTGGGTTTTTCAAGAATTTTGAGAACGCAAAAGTGAGAATAGATCATTACACTGAGAATAAAATGTAAGCAAATTACTACTGGGCGGTGTCTATATATGACCTTACCGGTTTGGTAGCGATTTGCTACGGAATTGTAGTAAATTTGCTACCACATTTTGACTAACCGTAACAGCGGGGTAAGGAAATGCTACAAGATGGTAGAACATTTACTACAATTCCGTAGCAAATCGCTACCAAACCGGTGAGGTCATATATAGACACCGCCCAGTAGTAATTTGCTTACATTTTATTCTCAGTGTACTATAATCATAGAACATTTCCAATCATAATTGTACAACATGCCAAATATTTACGAATGCACGGAAATTTTCACTGTGAGAAATCTGGTATAAATAAGTCAAAATATTAAGACATTCTTGCCATTACTTAATTACTAAATAATAGATACTGTTTTAATTTGACTAAAAAGTACTTTTGATTTATCAGCAAATATTTTGCAATATATGGATGAATGCGAACCCAGAAAATGAGCTTGCGACTCAAAGTTGGTACAAAATGTTTCGCAATATTTTACTTATTGTTCCGATTTTTGCACGTTTGCTAAATTTCTTGCACGGCAAAAAGCAAGAAATGCGAGGTGCAAGAAACTGCGCTATCCAGCCACGCGCCGTATGAACGTTTTATCTCGGCGGGGCGTAGTTTCTTGCGCCTTGCATTTCTTGCAGGTCAAAATACCTGCAAGCTTGCAGTTTGCAAACTTGCACCCCAAACGCTGATTTTGTTAAATCAGCAAGAGCACGCCCGATACAAATTTGCTGGTCAAAATTTTATAAGCTTTTGCGCATTGAAATTTTCAACTGTCACAACAATCACATTTTTCATATTTTTTAAAAATGTCATCGATATATATATATTTGTTGTCCATTACAGCACCACTTGATCTAGGATCAAAATTAAGAGAATACAAATTTGACGCAAAAACTGATAATGACGTTAATAATAGACAAATGAACATTTTATTTTACATATTTACATAACCGTAATGATGTCTCTAATTTGCATGACTTACGTATATTCCAATATTTTGTAGACTGTAGGAGGTTACAGATTTTAGCAGAGTTTTTGATTTCAAGCACATTGTCAACCACATTGATTACTCAAATCCGGAATTTTATTTAAATAATTTCTGGTGAAGGTGGTAAATTTTTTTGTATAATAAGTTAGGAATTTTTCGGAATTTACGATTTCACTTGACCTCGATAAGACTCAAAACTAATTTATTTACAGCTACCCTTTTACAATAAAATCGCATCGTTAAGGTAAATCTAATTATATATTTTTCTAATTTAAACATTTTTCATATTCGTTTGGCATGAATTTGTTGGAAATGGGCGTACTCGCGTCAACGTTTTATTTCAATCGCACCCAGTTTATCAAATAGTTTGGAACATCCATAATCTTACGAAATTTGCAGACAGGAATCCCTTAATTTTCAAACAAAAATTTGCATGAAATCTGAAAAATTTCGCAAAACCGATTCAAGTACCTTATTCGTTCATATTTGTTACACTGTTAGAAATCTGGTATAGTCAGACAAGTATTGATTTCTCGGTGATAAAGATGCTACCACTTGCTATTAAAATTATACCTGTCCGAAAAAATTTGCTACCGATTCGGTAAAGATTTAATACCGAGCTATTACTACAAGGTATTTCTTATCAGTACCACTTTGGTAGAGTCATATATATGAATACCGCTTGGTATTATTTTAATACTGGATTTCTAAGAGTGTATTTATGTACAATCTTTATATTAATACTTGACCCCACTCGGTTTTTAAGACCTGGTCAGGTCATCACTGCGTAAATCCCGAGAGTAAAATTATGACTACGAAAAGCATGTGTCATCAAGTCATGAAGTACGAAAAAGAACATGACTTTCCTTTTTACATGTGTCAAAAATACGCAGCTTATCAGACCTGATGATCTTATCCAGAATGTGGCAAGATGCACTGAACACGAGATTTGGGAAACTCCAATCTCTGTAAACATTTCACTTGAACAAATTAGTGTACTCGCCTCAATTAAAAGATAAAAATTAATTTACCTCGTCAATAAATATGAGTTGAATTTCGGGAAAAATTATCACTCACAAATCTACCTGAGCATCCGCAGCTTCATTGCTTTATCGAGGTAAGTATGTAAATCAGTTGCATTTTGACAAAAATAGTTAGTTTGTAAACGATTTAAGGTTCCCAAGTTTATAAAATATGTAAAATTTACGTTAAACTGTAGGTAAACAGTTTTTATAGCAAAAATACAATGAAAGTACCTAAATAATTCAGCAAATATTACAATCTCAATTTGCCTCAAAATTGTTATGTATTTCGTGAAGTTTGTAAATAAAAACGAGTTAATTTTGAAATTTCCTGACTTGGCAAATAAATCTCTGGTAAATTAGTAAATTACAGATATTCCCTCCCAAAAACTTAAAATTTTCTTAGGAAAAATATTGTTAGCCTCAAAATCAAATAAGTTTTCCAAAACCTCACCAATTTTATATCTTAATTGCTTTAATTTTTTTTTAAATCTTAAACTCAATCTCTAAAAATTTGCACACTTTACTCCATTTTCCAGCCAACACCTCTAAACATGTCGACAAAACTTTTCGCCATCGCCGTCCTAACCATCGCCTTGGCCACCTACGCCATATGCGCCCCACAATACGGCGAAACTTGCAGCAGCATCAACCAATGCACCGCCTACTCCAATAATTCTGAACAAAGCATTATTTGCATGTTTCGCCCCAACGCGACCAACCCGGTCGGATTGTGCTACACGACCGCCGTGGCGGCTGGAAAATGCGCCTGCGCGCGAAACTGCGGCGCATTCAGCGATCATCACGAAAATGGCGAATATTCACCGGAAGAAGGTCACTGCGTCGCGTTTGTGGGAAGACGATGCTACAAAGGCTGGCCAGGGAACGACTGTGGCGAAAACGCGTATTGTCCAACCACCAGTAGCTACTGCGTTTGCAAATTGGGATTCGAAACTGGACCGGATGGCAGGCATTGTGTAACTGCTAAAAAATAAATGACAATTTTATTTTTCTCTGGAATTTTGAAATAATAAATCTGACGGATTTCCAAAATAGTTTTAATTCTTGTAAAAATGAGCAACTTAATAAATATCAAATTTCATTTTTTTGCACAAAAAATTGCTCGAAAATGCTTATTGTCCTACTGGGTTTGCAAATTTGGATTCAAAACTGGACCGGATGAGAGGCATTAAAAAATAAGTGGTAATTTGTTTTCTCGGGAATTTTGAAATAATAAGTAAATCAGACTGATTTGGAAAATAATGTGACCTGAAAATGTGCAGTCTAATAATAGTTCTCTTTTATTGCACAAACTTCATGCAATTTTCAAACAACAAGTTTACATTAAGCAAATTCTCTCATATATTATAATTTTTTAATACTTACAAAATATTCAGTTCGTAATTTTGTGAACAATAACGTAATAAATATCAATTTCGTTTTTTCACAAAAAATTGCACAATTCGCAAAAATTCAATCAGCAAAATTGGAACTAACATTTATTTTTTAAATACTTGACAAGTATTGCAAATCATAATTGTACTTTTTGCAAAGCAATTTTTGACAAACATTGCAAAAACCTGAATTATTACTGTCTCGACTATGCAACTTGGTTCATTACAATTATGGCGTCAAACTTACCAATTTAAGAATTTATAAAACTAAATGACGATGCAAATAAATCGACTTGGATAACGTAAAAAAATTTGGAAAAAAATTTTTTCAGTAAATTTTTCAACAAGTTCTAAAAAATTCCAAACCATTGCAACGGGAAATTATTGTTAGTACAGAGATTGTTGGCAAATTTCCGAAAATTGTGCAAATGGCACAATTTAATAGCACTTTAATAGCAATTTAATAGCATAACGGCACAAATTAATTACAGTTTTATATTCAATAATGTACTAATTTTTAAACCAAATGTGAACCCAAATTTTTCAAAATTACGGACTTTGCAAAGTTTAGTTTTATATACATTATAAATATTGACTTAACTAAAGTTAAATAAATTCATTGATCAAAGTCAGAACATCTACCCAGCTTGTCATAAAAACGAAAATTTCTTGAAATTTTGTAAATGGCGTACAAGTCACCCAACTTTCCACTTTCTTAACTATTCAAAAATCATTCAGAAATTATGTTTATGTCCAACGTTGAACAAAAGGGTGGAAAATGTGAATTAATAAATTGTTCGAAATGATACTTTCACCTTAAAAGCAAAATTTTCCAAAAAAAGGTCATATTACAAATGTTACTGTCCGTTAAAAAAAATAATCCTTAATTTTTTTTCTTTTTGTGCCATGTGAACAAACTCTGTCAGATATCTCCGGAAAAAACGTTCAGAAATTATTTATGTTTAGGTTCAAGGTTGTGTGTTTGCAAATTGGGATTCGAAACAGGACCGGATGGCAGGCATTGTGTAATTGCTAAAAAATAAATGCAAATTTTTTTTGGAGTGAATTTTGAAAAACAAAATAAATTGGACTGATTTTGAAAAACATTTTAGACCTTGTAAAAATTAGCAACGTAATAAATGTTTCGTTTTTTGCACAAAATTCATGCAATTTTCAAAAACCGACTATACATCAGCAAATGCTTTCATATATTACTTTTTTAAATACTTATTTACAAGGTATTCATATTCGTAAATTTGTGATCAACGTAATATTAGTAAATATCAATTTCGGTTTTTCACCAAAAATTGCACATGTCGCAAAAATTCAACCAGCAAAATTGGAACTAACATTTAAAAATAAGACTTGACAAGTATTGCAAATCATTGTACTTTTTTGCAAAACAATTTTCGGTGAGCAGCTTAATGACCTAAATTATTGTCGTTTCAACTATGCAAATTAGTTAATTACAATTATGGCGTCAAACTTATCAAATTAGGAATTTATAAATGACGATGCAAAATCAAACGACTTGGATAACGCAGAAAATTTTGTAAAAAATCTATTCGAGAAAATTTTTACACAAGTTCCAAAAAACTCCAAACCAGGGCAACCGAAAATTATTGTTAGTACAGAGATTGTTGGCATCCCTTTATTTTGAGTAAAATACGTCTACAAAATTTACACGGTTTACAAATATATTCATGAATTGTTCAATTTTGGGGCTATTCACGCAGTCATTGGTAACTTGTAAAATCTGAAAAATCCGTAAACTGTTTGAAATAATTTTGCAAAACTTTTTGCAATACAATTTTACATAGTATACGTAAAACCCTTTACTGATTTACAAACATATCATAACTATTAAATTATTTGTGATATGTCAACGCCGTTGAATATATTTCGAGATTATTGTCATTAATTATTCATTACCAGATCACGTCGTTGAATTGAGTTAAAAATATGTATTAGCATGTGGACTTATTGTCAGCAAATATTTTGCAATAAATAGATGAATTCTGACCCAGGAAATATGTCAGCTTGCTACTCAATTAATACAAAGTTGGAAAATGCGAAATCTTGTAAACTTCGAAATTTTTTGGTAGATCAAGAAGGTGACTTGTACAAATTTGGTAGGTCAACATTTTATCAACTTTTGCACGTTACGGATTTTACAGAGCTTGATTTACATGGTTTCTCCCGTTCTATAATTGTACCGGTGCATGAATTTCATTTTATTAAATGTATTAATTTTATTAAATGACCAGCAATCGAATCTAATTGCATGATCTGTAGAAAATATGAATTTAGGTAAAAACTTTTAACGATCATGAAAATTATCTGTAAGTCAAACGAAAAAAATTAGCGGTATTTAAACAAAAGTAAGGCAGCCTTTGCTTTGCATAATTTCTGCAAATTTCAATATTTCGGAAGATTACAGATTTTCGAGAGTTTATGATTTCAATCACATTGTGTTACGCAAGTATTGATAAAAACCTGTGACAAAATCTGTACCATTTTGTGGAATACAAATTTGTGGTAAAAACTGACAACGCCGTTGAATAGCAAAAAAAACTGACACAACTTCAAAAATGTTGAGGGGTTTCACGTCAAGTTTGTAACTACGTAACTCCGTTTGTAAGTTTATACACTCTTTACGTGGGCTGACTTTGTAAAAAAAATTTCATAAGATTAACCTTCACATCAACTGAAAATGCAAATAGGAAACATTTGAATTACATACTTACGAACTTTTGCTAGAACCAAAAACATGGGTTTTGCAGTAAATTTCGTAAAAGTTCTGCTTTGATTTGTATGACTTGCGCTATTTTACTAACTTCGAGAGGTTACAGAGTTTATGATTTAAATCACATAGATAATTTTGTAACACAATTTGTGTTACGCTGTTACATAATATTATTGACAAAAACTGCACCTCTGCCATTTTTTAGATAATACATTTAAAGAAAAAACTGATGCTGGCGTTGAACAGCGAAAAAAACTGACACACCATAAAAAATGCTATTTATTTGTGATATTCATATAAAAATATCCTTGATCCCATAATGGGTAACCTAATCTTTGCTCAATTCAATTATCCCAGTTTTTTCAGCAGCTTTCCATTACTCTAAAAACTTTCTGAAATTTTGTCAATCGCGTACAATTAAATCACTATTACTCCAAAATTGTTCAAAAATCATGAAGAAATTATATTTACGTCCATCATTAAACAAAAGGGTATAAACTCGAAATTTATAAGTCGAAATCCTACCTGATTTTAAATAATAACATTATTAACTTCGTTTTTATTTATTCAATCATGTATTAATTTTTATACTAAATTTGAACCAAAGTTTTCAAAACGATGCACTTTACAAAGTTAAATTTTATTAAGTTTACCAGATTCAAAATATTTAAACAAACTTACAAGGGACACTCACGACCTGTCGTTTGAGTCCAGGGTACCCACTATGTTTTTTAGAATCTACTAGGACCCCAGATGAAGGATTCATTCATATTTCCGTGTAAAACTCATATTTGGCGCCGTGCCGTGGCGCTAAATTCGCCAAATTTCAATGTTTTTATTTTTGAAACCGCCATAACTTTTGAAATCCTGGGCGGATTTTCAAAATTTGTTGCAAAAATCATGACAAGGAGTTCAACTTTCGTATCCCATGAAATTTTTTCCAAAATTTTTGCTTTTAAATTTTCGCAAAATTTCGTAATTTTCTTAGAAATGAGGGTTCGTCGAAAAAATGCTAAAAATATTTCAAAAATTAGAAATTTTGTATTTTTATTTTTTTCTCATAAATTTGGACTTTAGTGATCATTTTAAGCATAAAATTTTGAAAATCCCACATAATCTGCCAAAGTTATGGGGGTTTGAAATTGGTCGAAAATGCAAATTTTTAAGTTTGGCGCCACGGCACGGCGCCAAATATGAGTTTTACACGGAAATATGAATGAATCCTTCATCTAAGGTCCTAGTAGATTCTAAAAAGCATGGTGGGTACCCTGGACTCAAACGACAAGTCGTGAGTGTCCCTTGTTAGCCAAATCGAGGAAAATGGATCTACATACATTTTCTTCGTACTGAAAGTATACCATGAATTTGTAAATGGCGTACAAACTTGACCATATCATTAGATTAATTTACTTACTTAATTTGTTTTATTAATCATATTTAAATTATGTAATTAAACGCAAATTGAAACGTGTGCTAATTAGAGGTAGAATTAACTCGAATTTTTGTAACAAAATCTACGATTACTTAAACAGAAAGTATGTTGTCAAACATTATTTACGAAGGAAAATCAAGTTAGAAATTTTATGAAAAATTTCGAATTTCACTCACAACACGAGCGGATTTTACTATTACCCTGAAGTAATAAATTGTGATGTGATTATTCAAATTATAAAGTAAGAGTAACACGTCGTATAAAATATTTTTGCGAATTTTAATATATTTAATTGCAATGTAGATTTTTACCTACAGTCAATGGAAAAAGTATTGGCAACCCCCAAGCCAGCTAAATAAAATTGGCTATAACCTTGGAATGCATTATACAATTGGCATGAAAATTTGTACGCATTTAGCAAATATAATGTAGTTTTCGATTATAATCATGATTTATTAATTAAAATTAGATCAACACAGTTTT